AAAATTGATATTTTTGACTTTATATATAAAATTATTGTAAATCTACTATGATTTTTATAATTTAAAAAAAATGTCTAAAAAAAATTATCATATACATATGTATCTAAAACTACTATATAACGCTAAAAACTCTCAACCGCAATTTCAAATGCACTCTTAGTCTATATTTTATAAAATTACACACAACTAACTATTAAATTAAAAAAATTTATAAGCAATTTTTTCCTAATCTAGTAATTCGTTTTTAATTTTAATTCAATACAATCTGAAACGTAAAAATGAGGTGCAGTATAGTCAGGGGCAATTTCATTAATAGGCTTAGTATCCATAAAATAATGGGCCTGGGCCTGGACCTGGGGCCTCGAATAGAATTAAAGAAGTGGGGCAAGAGTCTTGGAAAGTCCAGCTTTATGATCTCCCGGGGAAAGAGGGAGAGACGTTCGGTTCATTCTGTTAGGAAGAGGAAGGATTTTGAACGGAATGGCCTTGCGTTTCGCCGGCCATCACAGAGCCATAGTTAAAAGAAAAATCGCCATGGCCGTTGAGACTTGGTCAAGCTCACCGAGCAACGACAGCCAAAGATGCAATCTTTTTCTTCCTTCTAACCAATCCCAAACTTGCTAAATAAGCATAAATGTTTCAGTGTTCAGCACCTTGTGTCCGCCCGCCATTTTCGAAGGACTCCCCAAAAATATCCGCTGTCTTAATATTACCCACCGGCGCATCCCTCTTTCCACTTTGCAGAGGTATTACCCCAAAACCAATCTCTCTCTTTTCTTTCACCGGTTTTCTTTCTTCGGGGTCTTGATTTTGCCCCTGTACAGTTCTTTCGTTGGCATTGTTTTTTTCCTTTTTAAGGAGTTTTGAATTGGGTTGTATCATGGGATTCTGATTGTTTGTGGGATTTTTGTAGGCATTTGGTCTTTGGTTCTAGAACCGTGGTATGAGTGCTTGATCTGCCTTTACTATTGAAATTTGGAGAAACGGATCCCAATGGCCGGCACTGTATCTTTCAACCCAGGTGATCTTCCAAAACCAATATCCAGTGCATTGCATTTTGCAGTTCATATATCCAGCATAGCCATCTGTATTTGTCTTTCTGATTCGTATGTCAGCACTCATTTATATTGGAAGACTAAAAAAAAAAAAAAAAACCATTGGCCGCAACATTTTATGATGAATTGTGGTGGAAAGAGCAGTAAAGGGTGGTGTTGAATTGAGATCATTTTACCTTTTTTCATTGTAGCCTTTTATAATTTGTACCTCATGTTGGATGTTAGTGTTGATAATTTTTGTTTTTTTCATAGCATTAGATGCTGTTGTCTCTGAGGACAACAGAACGGTGTCTTTTAGGAGGAGAACAATGAATTCCTCCAGTAAATCCAGGTATTCTTTGAATAGAAGAGGTAGGAGAAGCAATAAAGTGATGTCTCTGGAAATAGAAGATGAGCATGATGATGAGGAGGTGCAGGTTGTTGAGGCATTGCGTCAGGCACTTATATCAGAGGAACTATTGCCAGAAAAGCATGATGATTACCATATGTTGCTTAGGTTACTACCTCTCCTGTTCCGTTTCCATATTGATATTGTGGATAAATATGGAGTTCTAACTTTGATTCCTGCCTTTTGTATTTCAAAGCAGAACTTTATTGTATGGTTTTATCCCAAAATAAATGAGAAGTTGATACTTATCCATGGGCTTATTAACCTCTGAGTTTAACCTTTCATTATACAGATTTTTGAGGGCTAGGAAATTTGAGATTGATAAAACAAAACAAATGTGGTCTGATATACTCCAGTGGAGGAAAGAATTTGGTGCTGACACAATAATGGAGGTATATTCTTCCAAGAAATTGAGCTTTAGATGCTCAAGAATTCTGCTATTTTTGTTTTCTTCTTGTTTTCTTGTTGTTGTTGTTGTTGTTGGGATTTCCTCTTTGAATGAGCTTCATTCTTATACTACTGCTCTTCGCTTAAGGACTTCGACTTCAAGGAATATGATGAAGTTGTGAAGTAGTAGCCCCACGGACACCATGGAGTAGATAAAGAAGGGCGACCTGTGTACATTGAGAGGCTAGGTGGAGTAGATTCCACAAAGCTCATGCAAGTAACAACCATGGACCGTTTTATCAGATACCATGTAAAGGAGTTTGAGAGGACCTTTTCTGATAAGTTTCCAGCTTGTTCAATTGCAGCAAGGAGGCAAATTGATCAAAGTACAACCATCTTGGATGTGCAAGGAGTGGTAAGTGGCAAAAATTGTCACCACTATGACACAAAATTTGACTAAAGTTGTTAAGTAGTGCTTTGAGATCACTAGAACTACCTTTGAAAAGTACACATAGACACCATAAGGCATATTATAAGATCCTTGGGTGACTTCAACAACCTTTTCCCTTCACCTCCTTCCCATGTTGGTTTGAACAAAATGACATTTATTTTTAAGAACCTTTCATAAATTAAATTAATGCTACAGGGTCTTAAAAACTTTAACAAAGCTGCAAGGGAACTTATAACTCGTCTTCAGAAGATAGATGGTGATAATTATCCTGAGGTACTAATCTCTTAAATGTTATTCAGCTTCTTTTACTATCAAATTAGCACTGTTCTTGATAACTTAAGAACCAACAATATTTTGGTGTATTTCATCTGTGACTTCCAACTCTAGGCAGCAGTTTTATAATATCATGCAAATTTTTGTTTTCTGCAGACTTTGAACTGCATGTTCATCATCAATGCAGGTTCCGGATTTAGAATGTTGTGGAACACTGTTAAGAGTTTCCTTGATCCTAAGACCACAGCCAAGATCCATGTAAGTATAGATTTTTTCTGAACTGAATTTGCTGTGTTTTCATCAAAAGAATATGGTTAATTGGTAAAATCTATTATTCATCAGGTGCTTAGCAATAAGTTCCAGCCCAAGTTGCTCGAAATAATTGATGCTAGGTAAGTCTCCACTTAATAATCTATCTTAACCTTTTATCACTGAGTTTGGTCACCCTGGTATCCTTTATATCCCTCCCCCAGCGAGAGAAAGCACGAGCCATGCTGTCATCAAGTATATAATTTTGCTGATTCATCAAAAGGAAAAAAAAAGAAAAAAAAAAGAAAAAAAAAAAGGCATTTTCTTCAACCATTGCCTGTTAAGCATGTTTATATTGATTTTACTAATTTTGCCTTTTTGGTGGTCTGGCTGATAAAAGTGAGTTACCAGACTTTTTGGGAGGTACTTGTACTTGTGCTGAGCATGGAGGCTGCATGCTTTCTGATAAGGGCCCATGGAAGGACCTAGAGATCATGAAGGTGACAACGATGTTATTGTCTAATTAGAGTGATTATCTGATTTGGTTTGACTATGATGTTATTGTCTAATTAGAGTGATTATCTGATTTGGTTTGTTCTCAAACACCGAACTATAACTGGCTTTTGGACTTGCGGATGGTTAGAAATGGCGAACATAAATGTTCCAAGAGATCGCAGACTGAAAGCGCTGTAGAGAAGACAATTTCTGTGGCTGATGTTGTCTACTCAAAGGTTTCACTCTGTCTGCATTCTAATTATCTAGTTTCTCTCAATTATCTGGCTTTCCTCTTCTTGTTACTGTTTGACTGACTAGTGTATTTTTTTATACAGCCCACTGAGGCTTGTGACTCTCCTGACATTGTAATTCCAGCAGTAGAAATCCTGCGATCTATCTCCTCTAAACTTTCAAGGAAACATATAGAGCATCCAGGATTGTCTCCTGTTCATGAAAACGTAAGAATACCAGACTTGTTACTCCTCCTTCTTCTTAGAGGTTTCAGGTAAAGCACTAAGATTAGCCAAATCTATCTAGATATAGAATCCAATTTAGTGGCGCCATAATTTACCTGCGAGTTGAATAACCAGCTTATTATAGTTGTAACTTATATAAGCATAAATGATATGTTGGTCGATGATTTCACATAGCATGCCCCTCTACCACTAGTGTCTACGTTCCTCTGCCTCTGGTGCCTGGCAGCTGGTAGTTTGAGAACATTGGACATTTGAACTTGCATTCTTTTACTTTGATTTTGATGTACCATCATGCTTGTATATAACAGAATCCATTTCGCCAAGTTAGCCGTAAGTCCATGAAATATGATATGGTCCCAGTGGTTGATAAAAACATGAATTCAGCTTGGCGGAAGGTGCTAGAGAATCACCAACTTAACTTCCGAAAAGGTAAATGGTCTGCTTGCCCTGTTACCACTACATGAAAGGGGGTCTTTACCGGCGTGTAAATGAAGGAATTTCAGGCACTTTTGAGCGCTTGCAATGATCCTTCAGGCACTTTAGAAAGCGCCAACCATGGGCCTGCAAATATAGTGTCGAGAAATACGTCGGGTGAACCTTTTTGTGCCTGTAGATAGCCCATTTTGCGGGCACTTATTTTGAGTGCCTACGAGCATCTGCTTTCTCTGCACTTAAATTTTGAGTGCCGAAATTCAGTCCTCATCTACATTTGTCACTGTTTTCCCCCATTTTTCATACAGTTCTCCCCTTTTTTACATTCCAGAATTTTTTTTTATTTTATAACAGAATTTAATTCATTCAAAACCTATTAAATATCAAAACACTCAAAATTAACAAAATATGTATTCATTTATATTTTCAATTAACCAAATATTCATACAAGTATAATATTTCCACCAAATATTACCAAATTACATATGGTGGCAGTGTGTTAAAAAAACCAAAAACCAAACATCAAAGTTTAAATAGAGCCCTAGCAGAATATTAAAACTCTTGTTGCATTTGGCTAGCAGAAGACTGGCTAAGATTGTCATTTCCTCTAGTAGGGTGGGTGACGTTTGTTATAGATCCTAGAATTGAAACAAAGTTGACAGCAGTTCAGAAAATAAACTTTAAGAAAGTTCAATAGCACCATAATTTGACATGGAATCATTAAACTTTAACTAACATATCTCAACAACAAATTGAAACATATGGCTTCTCTTGAATTCAGTAGCGCTATCATCCTTAAAGGACCCAATCAATAAACCATAATCAAGCTTAGCCAATGTGATTTTCCAAAGGAAACTAGAATAACTAAAAACCCAAAAGGAACCTGGCCTATGGGCCAAGTGGTTTTAGCCACTGTTGTAAGGTTCATATCCCCTTCTTCAAGGGCAACGGTTCAAGCCAGTCCCATGACTAAATGTTCAAAAAAAAAACTAAAAACCCAAAAGACAACAAAGAATTCACAACATCCCATTAACTAAAAATAGAACAAATAATTGCACATCCATTAACTAAGAAAGTGATAAAAAAGCAAAAAGAAATATATTATACTTACTCAAAATAAAACAATTCATAACATCCATTAACTAAAAATGAAATAGTCACTCTTCATAGAGCATCAATAATCCATAGTATTGTATGGCAAATGAAAAAGAAAATCAATCAGTTTAATTTAAGGAAATCAAGAGTACCATATTACCCATTCCAATATTTGAAGAACCAATACCACACCTTTTATCAGCACCATCCAAGATATCATCATGAAGAAGACTTGCGACCAAAGACAATCAGATAATCAAATTCATTCTGAAGCAACTCCAAGATAAGTTTCTAGTGTAAAAGCAATTATAGGACTATAAAGGGTTGCATACAAGAAAAAATGTGAAAAAAAAATGGTAATCTAAAGCAAATAATTTGATTAAGGCTTACCGTACAAAGAAGTAAAGGAAAACCTTTTCTTTCAAGAACTAAAACGATGAAAAAAAGTAATAAGATGATAAAGCAAAGTAAAATGGGTAATGAAAATTACCTGATAATAGTAATTGGTAGAGAAGATTTGTCCTGACCCTGAGATGTCTTGTGATATCCAAATAATAAAGATCAAGTTTCAGCTGTGACCATTAAAGTTACTTTAGCCTAAAAGAGGTTCTGCGTTATGAAGTGAAATTTCGGTTAGATTCCTCAACCACTACCATTGCCTGCAACCTATTAGCAAGAAATGAAAGTTCATTGGCAACAATGGAAAATGGGTAAAGTTCTTCTTGGATAGAATATCCCAATCAAAATGAAGTAAGAAACAAGGATTAATGTGTATGCCAGTATAAATCAACATACCAAAATTTATAAGAATCAAGGTATCACATCAGAATTCATCAGCAAAGGAAACAAATCAGATAAATTAAAAATCACCAGATTCGCAATCAATACACCAAAAATCACGAACTAATAACTGAGAATTTCATAAAAATACCTAAGAAGATCTAAGAAGAAGAAACAAACTTAAAGTTCACCGTCATTCCTCCCCAGATTCACCATAGATCGTGAAATCAAAACATGAGAAGGAT